CCGCCCGCCCGGGGGGCTGGGGGGCCAGCAGCCCCACCTTGGCTCTCACAGAGCAGGGAGAGAAATGCAGCCTGGGCTGTCACTCTATAGCCAGGGAGCTCTCTGTTCCCACTGCCTTTAAACGCCTTTTGACCTTTTATTAAGAAAAAGAGGTGGAACCAGTTCAGTGGAAAAGTAAGCAAAGCTCTCATCATAACGATAACTTTTGTTCCCTTTTATCTTCGAGGCAAAAACTTTTGTTAGGAGAATCTAACAGGCTTTCAGCTGAGCGTGAAGAGGATGTTAGCTGCCACCTTTGGGGTTTGGGAGACAAAGTCGGTGGAGACGCCCCGGAGCTCTGTCGCTGAAACCCCCTCTTTGGGCTGTTGAGACAAGACCAAGACAGTTGCACACAGCAGCAGATCACAACAGCAAGGAAGCCAAAAAGAGTGACTTCTGTCTCCTGCTGCGTGGACGTAGATGCCTCTCGTGTCCCCTCTGCCACTAGGAGACCGGCTCGTGCTGAAAGGAGGATTATAAGTGAGAGAACGGGCTCTGAGAGCCAGATTCGTTCAATGTTTTTATCAGTGACTGTCATAAAGCCTCGGGTGCAGGTCAGTAAGCTCAGCTAGCAGGTGAGCTGGTGAAAAGGTGGAGCAGAGGGCTGGAACAGCGTTCGGGGCAACGGGTGACATTGGCGGCTGAGCTAACAGTCATGGGAGGCAATTGAATGGTACGAAATGCAAAGTCATGCCCTGGAGTCACTGAACAAACATTTACGCCATAAATTAGTCCCCCGATTTGGAAGTGATTAAAAAGGGAAAGGCCTGCACGGGGTCAGCAAGCTCAGGAGGAGTGCAGGCTGGCACGAAGGCGAGGTGCACGCTGAACCCCCTTGGGATGGATCTCCAGAAGACGCAGCCAGCGCCGGCGTCGCTGTACGGAGCATTATCTACAGGCCGTGCCCCAGCCGTGCCAAAAACCGTGAATTTCTTGTAGAAAAGGTGCAGAGAAGAGCAACTGAGAGGACTGGGGGAATGCAGCGAGCAGCGCAGCTTGATAGCTTTTCAAAACAGACACAGAGGGGAGATAAGATTACGCCGGGGCAGCTTTATCAGTGAAAAACACTGGAGCAGGAGGAGACCTGCTGAAGCTGATGGGTGGGTTTTTGCGTAAGAGGAAATTGGTCTCAACTGGCTGTAAACTGGGACGGCTGTAGCTGCTGGGGGAGGAAGGCTGGCGCCAAGCCCGGGGCAGAGGTCTGCGGACCCTGCCCGTCCTGCAGCAGGGTTTCTGCGGAAGACGCTGCCCGGAGCGGAGCGGGTGGGC